ATGGCGTAGGCTGCAGCCCCTGCTGCAGTGGGCTGCCATAAGCTACCGTGAGTGGTCAGCAGCCAACGTGAGTGGTCAGCACCTGGTGTGGGCTGCCAAGAGCCACAGTGAGCGGCCGTCCAATGGCCAACGAGCAACTGCCTCACCTGGGAAGAGTGCAATGAAAATACCAACACGGGCCAGTGAAGCGACGTCATCCACAACTAGACTGAAAAACAAAAAGACAACAACTTGTCTGTTCCCCTTCCCCGATTCCCCAATAAAATCTTTTTTTAAAAGTTAAAAAGCATAAAAAAATAAAATAGAATAAAAAAAGCCACCTTAACTATCAAATGCTCTTTGACAAATATAATTTGATATAAAAGCATTACTGCTTTATATGGTTTTAAGTGACTACATCATCTCAAGCTTAATTTTTAACCTTCCCAAAGTTAGAAAGCAGCCACTAAGGGAAGATTTATCTTCCCGAGTGAATGAAGGTTAGTACCCCAACCAACTTGGGGCTAAATTTGTGACCTGAGGATGTGTGTGCCCATAGTGATTCTCAGGCCACTGTGGGTGCAGACCCCACTCTTAAACTTTTTGTGAAATAAGTCATATAGATCAGAGTGTATGTAAGACAGACATAGGATGAAAGGCAGATAACATAAACACCAGTGGACTCACCACCCAGCATAAGAAATGGGACATTACAAACATCTGGAAATGGCGGCCAATCCATGCATCTTGCTGACACTCCCCCCTTCCCCTCTCACCTAGGTGTAACCATCATCCTGTATTCTGTAGAGTGTGAGGGTACTGCACCCACTTGGTAAGGTTGTTTTTTTTGGGGGGGGGAGTGTGGAGCAAATGGATAACAACAGCTGACACTATGTGCCAAGCTCTATTCTGAGCACTACAGGTTTTAACGTGTTTAACCCTTACAATAGCCCTCTGATATTTTAACTATTTTTAACATCCCCGTTTCACAGAAGAGGAGACTGAGGCACACAGACTGAGTAACTTGCCCAAGGTCATCTGGATGATGGAGAACAGCTTCAAACCCAGGTGGTCGGACTCCGGAGGCTGTGGCCTTCACCACCCTCCCTCCCGCCTGTGGACCCGCCTTCCCCTTCGGGGGAGAAATGTGGGCACTGGGTCAGCTGGGAGAGGTGCAGCATGGGACAGGCCCCAGGCCTTCAGTGTCAGCTGCAGGGCACGGCTCCCGGTGCCCCCGGGACTCCAGGCCCCATTCCAGCTCCTGGCCGGGCCCCAAGGGCCACCTGCTCAGTCAGCAAAGGGGACATCCTCTGGCCAGAAGCCAGCTGCCACCGACGTGCATCCACCTGGCCTTCCAGCCTTGGCCCACCCTTGCAGGACATCAAGTTCTTCTGTGTCGCCAGGAACACAGCCACAGTGACTCGGAGGCCTGGCCAGATCCTGTCATGCCCGAGGGGTGCATGGGTGAGGCAGGGGTAACTCTGCCAGGAGCTGGAGTCCTGTTGCCGGCAGACCCCGGGCTCTGGGTGGGGAAGAGGACAATAGGCAGGGCAGAAAGTGAAGGGATGGGGTGTTGCATTCCTTTTTTATTTTAAGAGACCTCCTTTGATATTCACGAAATATTGCTAAATGTCATAAAGCAGGCCAAGGAAGGGTGTATATAAGACAAGGCGATTATTATTAAAAATAAATCAACTAGAGGGAAAAGGGGGCAGCTGTGCAGCTCAGTGTTAATGAGCTTGGGATTTGCACCTGGACTCTGCCTCTTTCTGGCTGTGTGACCTTGGGCAACTTGCCCACCCTCTCTGTGCTGGATAGTCATTGCTTCTCTGTGTCCTCCCTCTGGTTGGGGAAAGACAGTCCACCTCCCTTGATGGATGTTGTTCTGGCTTTGTGGAGCCCTCCCCATGCATATAGCTCCTCTGACGTGTGTCTGGAGGTCCTGAGAGCCTTCCAATAATTTTTTCTGCTTGCATCGCCTGGCGTTGCCCCTGGGTGCCGTGCCTAAGCTCTGACCAGGACGTTCCTGAGCCTCAGTGTTCTCAGCCGTACAATGGCAAGCTCTCAGCAACATGAATGGAGCCCACGCTCAGCTCCCCGCCAGCACCCTCGGAATAAAGACATCAAGCCTCAGCACAAAGCTTAGCACGGGGTTTAACAAATGCTGGGGAAATTGTCTGAGTGTGGGCTTGTTTTATGGAAAAGTACTAGGAGTGTAAATCAGAAAATATTAACAGTTATTAGCTCTGGATGGAGGATTGTGGGTGATTTTATTTTAAAAATTATCATCATTCCGCTTTTCTATAGTTCTAACTTCCCTACTGTAGTGATTTGTGTTTTAAAAAGGGAAAATTAGCAAGTACAGCTTTTCTTCCCTGGGCCTTTTGCCTTAATTCATCTGGCCCAGATTGTGCTGGGATGTGCTTTGGGTCCCTTGACAGACAACTGGGGGAGACTGGCCCAGTTATAAATGCTGGGCCTGCGGAAGGGGTGCAAGCATGGGTGAGCCCCCTCCCATCCTCGCCTGCTCCATCCAGCCTGGCCTGCCGAGAGATGGCCGCAGCTTCTCCCCTGGTGCCCATAAATGCCTCACCGCTGTAACGCATGGCAGAGGCACAGGCACCACCAACACAGCAGTCCTGTGTTAGAGGGGACAGGTGGGGGCAGGGCCGAGGTTGCCCGGAGGGGTGGGTGGGTGGCTGGGGGACATTTCCCCTGACAGCAGAGCCATTCAAATGCAGCCTGGCTCCTCTGGCAGTGGGGAAGGGGGCGGGGGATGGGCAGGGGTGGGAGCAGCTGTGGTCCAGCCCTGAGTGGATGCCCCCTGCCTGGGCCCCTGTGGTCTGGTTAAACCCTGGGCTGTGGAGTCAGGCTGTCCTCAGTCAACTCCTGTCCCTGCTTCTTAGCAAATGTGACTTCGAGCAAGTTCTGTCCTCACGCCTAACCTCCACTTCACGTTTCTGTAAAATGAGTGTGGCCGTTCCTTCTGCTCAGGTCAGTGGTTCTCCACCTGGGGCAAGTTTGTCCCCAGTTTGCAATGCCTGGGGGCACTTTGGGTTGTCACAATGGGGAAGGAGGTGATACAGGCACCCAGTGGCTCAAGGCCAGGGATGCT